CAATCTACAAACATATAAACAAAAAGCGCAAGCACTTTCCCCCCAAGCTAAAAGAAGCATTGTCCTCAAGGCATAAAAGGGATAAAGACACTAACTTGAATACTTTTGTTTTTTTTTTTTTGGTTTTTTTTGTTTTTTTTTTTTTGAATTTTTCTGCACTTGTCCAAAGCATTAGTCCTCGCCTCTTTTGATTTTGGACGGCTTTTATTTTCAAACTTGCATTTATTTTGTCCTTGCCTTTTTGAATTGGGACGGCTTTTTACTAGTCATTTGCCATTATTCACAATGTATATACAACACAAACTTGCTCACAAACTTGAACGAAGATCCAAACTTATAGACCACAATCTCCAACAATAATGACCATTGCTTCACAACCAAAAATGAAAATGAAACAAAAGGCTCAAGAGCTAAAGATGTGGCTTGAAAAGAAGGGAAAAAGGCTCAAAGGGCTAGCAAGTAGGCAAATGTATCCAAAAACCAAAAGTAAAAAGAAGGACACTATCCTAGAAAAAGGAAAAATACCTCCCCGAAAAGATGCCTTTGTCCTCCCTAGGTGGTTCGGTCTCGGTCTTAGGAATCATACGTTAAGATTCTAGATTAGGTTTGCAAAAGTCAAGGATCCATGCCGCTCATGCAAGAATATGTTGAAAGTTTGAAAAAATATGAATCTCACATGGTTATAGCAAAAACTCACTAAGGTTGTCAAATCGAAAATAGGGAGCAACTACTAAACATGTCACAAACAAGTAGAATCCGTCTTCATGATCCCCCTAGTTCTAGACAACTACCTTAGCATGCTTTATCCTAGAATCAACCAAACTTATTCTCAAACCGTGCATACCATTACCACCTAGGAAGATTATTATTCAAAAGCAAGAGTCCATTGTTTACAAGTCCAATTCAAAAATAGAAAAGAGTGAAAAATAAAGCCTCAAAAAACTATGTACAAAACCAAGAACAAAAAGAAAAGAAAAGAAAAGAGAATAAAAGTTGGAAAGCAAAGATAAAGGGAAAGTAGGAGGACAAAGAAAAGGACAAAGATGCAATCATAACACGTATTTCCCAATCGACATACAAGTGGTCAAATGGCCACATCGCCAAAGACCCCAAACACACTAGGTGTTATAATCATACATCCTCGAACCGTTCAAAACCCCTAAAACTAATCCTAATCTAAGCAACCAAGAAAATTAAAGGAATAAAAGTAAAAATATAAAACAAGAAGGGTCTCACCAAGCGTCCAAGCTATGCTACAATAACCAAAGGGCAAGAACGACCTCCTTCAAGAAGCTTCGAAGACCAAAGCATAAGCTACGAGCAAGGTGAGAAAAAGAAAAGGGCTATATACAAAATGAAATTGTTAGTAACTTCCAAACAAAAGCAAACAAAATAAAGCTTACTTGAAAACTATGTACAAAAACCTAAAGAAACCATCATCATCATCATAATCAAAAGAAACCTCAAAACATCATCATCAAAATCAAGACAACAAGACAAACATCATACCAACTAGACTACCAAGAGCGAAGTAAGAAAAATCCACCAAAGCCTTTTCAAACACATCCCCATGAGTCCAAGGTACCTCCTCCAAAACCTACCCTAAAACATTCTTTTTGAGCCCCCCCCCCCCCCACAAAATAAGGGCATCGACCGCGATGTTCAAAAACATGCAAAGCTAAAGGGGAGGAAACAAAAAGGAAATCAAACAACAAAGGGGGGAACTGTTGGCCACTAGGGCCGGCACCATCATCATCCACATCCCAACCTTCGGTAAAACCGGGAAGGAACCCATAACGACCCTTGAAAAGGTCAAGTTGGGATGTGGACAATTGGTCAAATGGCTCGAGCTGCATATAGAGCTCGGGGTGAGTGGGGTGAAGATAGTAGTAGTCAGGGTCACCCCTATAATCACCCCCCCGAAACCCGGTAGTCATAACGACTGGACTCATCTAGGAAGTTGCGCCTTGGCTCATCGGGGTGTGAAACCCCGGGCTAATAGGGGTACGTGGGGAGGTTGTCACCACCCCAGATGGCACAGGCCCTTGTTGGGGCGGAACATATGGGTAGTTCACCGGAGGTGTGACCTCCCCCCCAGCGCACACTAGCGTCATATAAGGCGCTAGTTTGAAAAGACAAAGTTTGATGGTTGGAATACATACCTTGCGTGTTCAATTGCATGTGCTCCATATGCTCTCGCATAGCCTCCATCTCACGGAGATAGGCATCTCCTTGGTAGTCATGTTGTTGATGTTGTTGTCTTCTTCTTCTTCTTTGCTGCGGTTGTTGTTGTTGTTCTTGTTGAAATTGTTGTTGTTGTTGTTGTAGATGTTTTTCTGCTCCTTCTCCTCCTTATCTACCCTCATCATCATCATCATCACCGTCACCTTCATTCACATCATCATCATCCTCCTCCATATCATCCTCAACTCTCCTATTGTCCATAGGAATTCTCCAAACAATCCTAGCATCTCGAGTAATTGAGGTGGTGGCTGGGTTTGGGAGTAAACAATGGTGCTCATTACGCACTAGCCAAGAATAAACACCGTCTCTCTTAGTTCTAGTAATGAAGCGCAAAGTGTTAAGTTGCTTCAAATCTAGATACATTTCTTCACTCCCTCCAACCGGAGTGCAAGACTTCAAGAAACGTTCTTGCTTTAAATGATACACCAATTTCAGCTCGTAATTATACCTCCACAATGTATCTCACCCGTTTTCTTCCCATTAATGATTTCCTTGCAACAATCCATAAAAATGTACCCAAAATTCAACCTCGGCCCCAAATCCGGCTTTATAGCCATCCAAAGAACTAAGATCTCCTCCCTCGAAAGCTTCCCAAGATCTTGCTTGTTAAACACGGCATAGCCAAGAATCCGATGAAGAATTCTAAGAGTCGGGTGAATGATCTCACTAGCAAGCGAATTCTTAGAGTCAAACACCTTCTTATGAGTAATGGTTCTCCACCATGCAACCTCATTGTAATCGCACTTGATAAGGGAAACCAAGGGCTCAAAGATATCGGCATTAGGATTGAAGCCAAGGGCTTTATTGAATTCGGCAAGGTTCATGGTATGCTTGACATTGAATAGTTGGAAAGAGATGATATAGTCGATATCCCCCGCCCTATTATACTCAAAAGTAGAGAAAAACGCAATGCAAGGTTCCAAATTGGTTCTCGGAGAAGACTTAACAAAATTATCCAAGCAAAGGTTACGGAGTAGGATTTCAAGATTGGCATCAACTCCTAACGTGACCATATCATCGGGAAGATAGTTGCAGGTAGGTCTAAACATCTTGGTTTTCATTTTGTTATAGATTTGAACTTGTTTAGACCGATTGTGAAATTTGAGAGGGGGTAAAGGAGGAGGTGGGGAATCAGCTTGAGGAGTTTGGTTGTGAGGAGGTTCGGTGTTTGAAGGTTGGCCTTGAGAGGATTGGCCTTGGGAGGATTGGTTGGGGGATTGGTTAGAACATTTCTTGCTACTCTTAACCTTTCTTAACAAATCCATAGTCACAAGTTCAATCAACACAAGAAACTACACAATCACCCCAAATCAATACCAACACTACCACCAATTTCTTCAAACCACATTACAATTCCTCCCCAAACCACCACAAACTACAAAGTACCTGTTACAAGCAACACAACAACAAAAATCCAAACAACAACCAACAACATTAACAATCCATCACAAAAATAAGCACAAATCACTCAAAACAATTCCAAAATCACCATACAAACAACCATAAACATGATAGTCATGCTTAATTAATCAAGGTAAATCAAAACCAATGTATAATAATCAATAGAAATTGACAAAAATAAAACAAAGATTAGAAGTATAACAAGATTGAAGACTCAAACAGAGCTCAAAATTGCTTTAAGGACTCAAATTTCCCGAAAAACCACGAGAATAGAGACTTAATGTTGATGAAAATGGAGTAAGATGGAAAATGTGATGGAAATTTGAGTGAAAACAAGGAAGAATTGTGTGAATTTGTGTGAGAATGATGATTTGGGGTTAGGGTTTGAGAGGAGGAGGAGATAAAGGGGAAAAATAAGAGGAGAGTGAAAAATAAGAGAGAAGAGAGAGAAAGGAGCAAATCGGTCTTTCGTTGTAACCCAGCAAGTCGCGCCCTCTCCCAACTTCGCCGCGCCCGCGGAGAGACCGTGGTGCAACCGCGGGCCTAAACTGGAAAAAATTTCGATTTTTACCTTTTAACTGGGGCCGCGCCCTCTCCAAAGTTGTCGCGCCCGCGAGGAGACCGCGGGGCAACCGCGGGTCGTTCCTAATCATATTTGACAAAAATAAGTCGCACCCTCTCTAATTCTACCCACGACCTCTCTATGCCACCCACGCCCGCGAGGAGAACGCGGGGCAACCGCGGGAAGTTCTTGATCGGTTTTTGTCTTTTTTAAAGCAAGGGTAACCGAGGCCTCTCCAAGCCCGCGGGGTGCCCTCTCCCCTGCACTCTAAATCCTTCTTTTGCCATCCTCATCAAACACCTTAAGTTTATAGTTTATGATTGAAGGTAACCTACAAAACAAACCAAAAACAAAAGGAAAGGTAAGAACAAAAATCAACAAAGAAAAATAAAAGAAAGGGAAGAAAAGAGAATAGAGGTGAGAATCCGGGTTGCCTCCCGTAAGCGCTTTTGTTTAACGTCATTAGCTCGACGTTTACCACCCATTCAAGGTGGCTTAAAAAGAATCATTTTGTGAATAAGACCAACAAACACTCCATCAAAATATCTCTTGAGCCGATCACCATTAACCTTAAAAGAAGATGAGGAATCCAAAGGAGAAATCTCCATGGCACCATTATCAAAAACATCTTTCACTAAGAAAGGGCCACTCCATCTTGATATGAGCTTTCCAGGAAACAACTTTATTCTTGAATTGTAGAGGAGGACTTTATCAAATTATCACCAACACAAAACTCTTTCTTCTCAATAAGCTTGTCATGTGCTTCCTTGAAATGAGCTTTGTAGGTGCTATCTCAATCGTAAGCATCAAGTCTAAGCTCCTCTAGCTCATGAAGATCCAACCAACTTTTCTCCCCCGCACTTTCCAATTCAAAATTTATCATCTTGATTGCCCACAAAGCACGGTGTTTAAGCTCTACCAGGAGATGGCATGATTTTCCATAGACAAGGCGATATGGAGCGGTGCCAATAGGTGTCTTGAAATCCGTTCTATAGGCCCAAAGAGCATCATCCAACTTGTCCAACCAATCCTTTATATTCCTTGCAACTGTCTTCTCAAGAATAAGCTTGATTTGACGATTGGAGACCTCGACTTGGCCACTCGTTTGAGGATGATATGGAAGGTCGAAGCGCTGATGAACCCCATGTTTTCTCAACATCTTTTGAAAGGCATTGTTAACAAAATGAGAACCATTATCGCTTATCGCCGCCTTAGTGATAACTTGTTATTTGATACGATTTTAGAGTGATTTCGAACCTTGTTTACTTCGTATATTGGCATTTTGGTTCACTTTTACTCTATTTTTGTTCAACTTTTGTGTATCCCTTGCTTTACAGGTTGTTAGTGATTTTGTTGGGTTTTTAGGTTCAAAGACGACCATTTGAGGCATTTGGATGATAAATTGAGGTTAGAAGCCGAAATAATGGAGCAAAACCGAAGAAAATTGAAGATAAAGGCCTTAGAGAGTCTGCACGGACGTGCAAAGTATGGCACGTCCTTGCAGAAGTGTTCCAGCACGACCAGAAACTACTGCCTACTACTTTCACGGCCTGCACATCTGTGCAGAGCTCAGCACGTCCGTGCAGGATATTCAGCACGTCCGTGCCTGATCCTGCACGTCCGTGTAGTTTTCTCAGCCCAAATCAGTTTCAAAACTGATTCCACTGAACAAGGCCTGCACGTCCGTGCCATATTTGGCACGTCCGTGCAGGATGCCCTGGCCAAAACAGTACCTTCTACCTCCCAAGTGCACGCCCATGCCAACCTCAGCACGTCCGTTCCGGTATAGCTGCACGTCCGTGCTGACATGTAGCCGTGCCCGACTCTTGTCTTCTCCGTCCTTTTTATTTGGGGGTCTTTATAAATAACCCCTTGAGCTCATTCGTACGACAACAAAGTTTTTAAAGCTTCCTCTTAGTTTGCAATTGTAGAAACACAAATATTCTCAAATCATTAGTTAGATTATAATTATTAGCTTGGAAATTTCATTCTCAATGATTGTAGAAGACAAGTTCCACCATTGATATTAAAGTTGAAGCTTCTAGTAACATTTTCTCACTCTTCTCTTCCATTTTAATTGCTTTGATTGTTAATTATCTTGCTTAATTCTTGTATGCTTAGATTGTTATTTAGCTTAATCTTTAGTTAATTCTTGTTCATGAGTTACTTGAAATCCTTAATTGCTTTAATCTCCATGGATTGTGAGTAGTCTAATTTTCTAGGGTTTGGGTAAAACCCTCAATGTAGTCACTAATCACTTATTTCATGTGTTAATTTGGTTATTGTTGGGTGTTAATTAGTTGAGCTTAAGTGGTTTAATTTCTTAGTTCTTGTATATGGCCATTGCTAGAACTATTATTTAAGCTTTCTCAACGAAGGATCGAGAGATGAACTTGAGTTAGCTCCCTTATGCTTAATTGACTTGAAATGCCATGAGAATAGGAATTTCCAGTAAGGGAATGTTTATGTCATCGTGATTATGCTTTAATACTTGTTTTATGCTTTGTAACCACGAGAGTAGGTTGTATTCATAATTAGAGTAATCCCTCTAGCTTGAGAGAGTAGTTGGGTGCTTTAGATGACTTCCCCTATATTATCCCCTCAATTTACCATTGTTTGCTACTTGCTAATTGTGATTTGTGACGAAATTGAGTGGTATATCCCAAGCCCTAGAACTCTCTAAATATTGTTAATCTCCCCCTAGCTTAGTTGACTTGAACTAGCACTTGTTACATAAAACCAAACCAATTTCGACTTCATTTAGCTTATTTATGCGGTAGTATTTCGGTGGTTGATTCAACGCCTCTCTTGGGTTCGACCCTTTCTTACCCTTGCTATTAGCTTGTGAGATAAAGATAGAACTTTATCTTTGGTAGGCTCGACGATGGCCTATCAAATTTTGGCGCCGTTGCCGGGGAGGCAAAGTCACATTGAATGTATTATTGTTGAATGAGTTTAAATGTGTATATTTGTATCATAATTTTTCTTATTTATTTTTGTATATTTGTGTTTTCAACTTCTGATAGTCATTGCTAACGTTTTTCTTAGCTTTGTTTGACCTTGCATGACACAGAAGAGCAAGCAATCAGCGCTTATTCCCGTTGATCCATAGTTAAATAGGACTTTGAGAAACGTGAGGAGGCTTTTGCAAGGCACACCCGAGTTCTCTATTGTATATTCGGATTCCGATCCGGAGGAAATCTTTGCAACCAACGAAGAAGATAACATGGGTGATATCAATCCTCCTCCACCATTGTTACGAGATTATGACCACCCCAATGCCTTCACACTTCGGAGTGGCATACGTCTCCCTACTACGAATGCAAATAATTTTGAGCTTTCACCTCAACTCATCCGGATGATACAAAGTGATCAATTTGGTGGGAGTTCTCATGAGTGTCCTTTTGCTCATTTGGACAACTTCTCGAATTGTGCATAACCATTAAGCAAAACAACATTACAGAAGAGTTCATCCGTATGCACATGTTTCAATTCTCCGCCCGTGACAAAACAAAGCATTGGTTGAGAACGGTAGAAGAGGGATCATTGACTACATGGGATGAAGTCACTAGAGCTTTCCTTGGAAAGTATTGTCCACTCGAAAAGACCGCCGAACTAAGAAGGAAAATCACCAATTTCAACCAAGAGATTGATGAAACCTTAAGTGAAGCTTGGGAGCGTTTCAAGGACTACACTAGAAAATGCCCACACCATGGTTTCACATCATGGATCATTGTTCAAAGCTTTTATGATGGTCTTACTCCTACTTCAAGGGCCAACCTTGATAACGGGGTCGGTGGTAGCCTTAAAAAGCTATCGGTGGATGATTCATACAAGATGATTGAAGAAGTGGCAAAGCACTATGCATACGGAGGTGATAGACGGCAACCTCAAGCAAAGAAGGGCGGAATCCACGACCTTAGTGCTATAGACCTTATTGCATCAAAGTTTGACATGCTAGCTCACAAGCTAGATCAAGCCACGCTTACATCTCCAAGCTCTTCTTCACAACAAGTCATGTCTTGTGAAACTTGTGGAGGAAATGATCACTTGTCCTCCTATTGCAACTCAACTAACCAAGAGAAATCTACGACTATTGGGCAAAGAAACGATCAATACTCTCAACCCTACAATCAAGGTTAGAAACCCCAACAAAACACGGTTTGGAAACAACAAAATCAAGGCCCCCCTCAAAACCAATACAACCAATCTCATCCACAAAACCAACAAGCTCCTTACCGTCACCCTAACCAAAGGGACCAAAACCAACAAAGGAAACAATATAACCAACCCGCTCCTCCACCTCCTCAAAAATCTAGCCTTGAAGCCGCACTTGAGACCTTCATTACACAACAAGGAAGAAGAAATGCGGATATGCAAGTGAACATCCAACAACTTCAAGCACACAACAAGATAATTGAGAATCAATTGGCTCAAATTGCGCAACAAGTTGGAAGTTCATCCTTCAATCCTAGTGGTCATTTCCCAAGCTCAACGGTTGCAAACCCAAAGGAGCAAGCTAAGGCCATTACTTTGAGATCGGGGAGAGGTTATGAGGGGCCGGTTATGAGTGAAGAGGAGCCACAAAAGAGAGATGAGGGAGTTGTGGTGAGAAATGAGGGTGAGTTTGAAAATGAGATAGTTGATGTTGAGAGAAAGGAGCCACAAAGTAAGAATGAAGAAGATGAGGAAAAGGTAGAAAAGCCCCCTATGGAAGTATACAAGCCTCCCATTCCATTCCCTCATAGGATTATTGAAAAGAAATTGAATGAAAAGTTTTCAAACTTTCTTGAAGTCATGAGAGGACTTCAAGTGAATATCCCCTTTCTTCAAGCTATGTCACAAATGCCTACATATGCAAAATTTTTGAAGGATCTTTTATCCAACAAGAGTAGGCTTGAAGAGAGTGCAACCATCTCCCTTCCTAAGGAGGTGAGTGCAATCATTCAAAACAAGCTTCCTTAAAAGCTTGGTAACCCCGGTAGCTATGCAATACCGGTGAAGATTAGAGACTTGGAGGCTGTGGATGCTTTATGTGATCTTGGGGCAAGTGTGAGTTTGATGCCCTATTCTATTGCTAAGAGTTTGAAAGTGGGAGAGTTGAAGCCAACAAGAATGTCCTTACAATTGGCCGACCGCACGGTTAGGCTACCTTTGGGAATTCTTGAAGATGTGCCGGTTCAAGTTGGAAGAGTATTTGTGCCATGTGATTTTGTGGTAATGGAAATGGAAGAAGATACTACGGTGCCCCTAATCTTAGGAAGACCGTTTTTGAACACCGCGGGTGTTGTGATTGATATGAAGCAAGGAAGATTGACCTTAAATGTGAAAGAAGAGAAATATCATTTTCATTCCCACAAACATTGAAAAAGCCATTGTATGATGAAGTTCATAGATTTGATACATTGGAAAGGGACTTAGAGAAGTTCCAAGAGAATTTGTTTGAAGGAGATCCTTTACAAGCTATCTTAACGGGAGGCTTAGTTGAGGAAGGTGAAGAAATAAGGGGGTATGATCTTTTGCTCAACCAACCTTTAGTCCACAACAAAAATAAAGTGGAAGTGTTTCATGTGGAGGTAAAAGAGGAGAGGACTATGCCTCCTCACAAGGTTGAACTTAAACCCCTTCCTCCTTTACTTAAATATGCTTTTCTTGATGATAGTGAGAGTTATCCCGTTATTTTCAATGCTAAACTTGATGATACCTCTCTTGGGAAACTCCTTGTTGTTTTAAGGGAGTATAGAGGTGTCATTGGGTACAAAATTGATGACATTAAGGGGATAATTCCTACTATATGCATGCATAAGATTTTACTTGATTATGATCATGCTTCCTCGATTGAGAACCAAAAAAGGCTCAATCCAAACATCAAGGAAGTTGTGAAAAAAGAAGTTTTAAAACTTCTTGAAGCGGGCATAATCTACCCTATCTCCGATAGTAAGTGGGTTAGCCCGGTTCAAGTTGTGCTTAAAAAAGGAGGCATGACCATCATCAAGAATGATAAGGGTGAGACCATTTCTACGAGGTCGGTCACCGGGTGGAGGATGTGTATTGATTATCGAAAATTTAATAAGTCCACCCGGAAAGACCACTTCCCACGCCCCTTCATCGATCAAATATTGGAAAGACTGGCATCAGATAGTCACTATTGTTTCTTGG